TATTTGCTTTCAACAACCAACTACATGAGTGATGTACCTGAGTGTTTAGATTGCTGTATCTAAACTGTATCAAATTTATTCACTGAAATTTAGGTTATTTCCATTTATGTACTACATGTATCTTATTACTTTTTTTAAAGTATGTTATGTTTTTGGATAATCTATGCACAATATGCAGATGTACAGATAGTCTTTCCTTAACTTGTGTATTTATTAGCTTTATTAAAGGTACTCAGGTTTTTCTGAGGCACTTAACCATGTGGTGCCTCAGAAGTGGCTATAAGTAAATTTATCCTTAGCATTTTTTGCACTGTCTTGCACCTAAGCAGAGTCATGTTTGAAATAAAATACTTGTATATTCCCTAAAAGAAGAAAGACCAACTGGACAAGAAACTCAGGAGACTAATTGTATTATCTGATAAAGTGTTTTGTATTTTGGGAGCCTCCCTTTATGGCCGTTGGCACTTGCTTTTTTTCGTACTGGGTTCCTTAGTAAAGAAAGCTTAGTACATGATGAATTGTGTTAACCTTTACTTTGGGGGTTTGTTCTCCCTTTTATTTCTACCACCATGTCTGACTGTAATTCTCATTCAGACAAATGTGAATGAATTTTATCAGATGTAATTTAGAGTAATGAATGGACTAAGATGAGCAACTCAGTGGTTTAAATGAGTACAAATTTAATAAATAGTTCTCATTTGATTATATGTCTCTGACTAAATTAATAATTTAACTAAACCATTTAATGAGCTAATTTATAATAGTATAATACTAAATGTGGTGAATATACTTACCATCTGTCAAATGCATTGTAAACCACTTTATTCCCTCTAGATTTTTTTTATGTGATGTAAATACCTTTGAAACAGAAACACAAATACTTAGTAAGTCTTCAGAAAATTGCTTTTAAGTGTTGAGGTGTTTTAAAAAGTGAAAATGAGAAATGACGTCCCTCATTTTACTGTTTTAAAACTAATCCATTTGCTGTTTCTCTGTTTTATAATACACAGTATTATGAGATAAATGCATTCATTTGTCGAGTTCATTCCTACCAACTTTCCAGAATGCTTTGCAGTCGATTGTTTCCATAACTTTCTGATTTTGTTGCTTTTATATTGGGAAGAACACATTCCTACATACCTTATTGCACTTTGATACAGGGGAAGAAAATTGAGCTGCCTACATAATGCACACACTTTTCAGTATGACATTTAAAATATCAGAAAAATTTAGGATCATGTGCATCTGTATTTAGCTTATTTTTTAAACTAGTTTTGTATAGGCATTCCTCATCAGTATTTTCTTTTCATTAGATAATGTGCAAAATGGCCTCCATGGTGGGGAAAGACATCACAGAAAGACTCATTCTTCCTAGGTTTTGTGAGATGTGCTGTGATTGCAGAATGTTTCATGTTCGTAAGGTATAAATTTTTTCTTGTCTAGTTTGATTCAGTTATTTACTTTAGATTTAAAGGATCCTGGCCAATGTAAAAATCACATTTGTCTCAAATTATTTTTATCTGTTGCTTTTACCTGAAATACCTATGATAACTATAAATGAAAGGTACAGGGCCCCACATAGTCTGAGTGAGCTATGGAAATTTCTGCAGAAGTGTAGTCTACAATCTTTAATTTAAAGAGAAAACTATGCTTCTAGTTCTTAGGGTTGTGGCGGTAACATTGAAAACATGAATCAAATGTAAACTGATACAGATTCATCAACCTGACCCCACAGCTCTCTGGGAGGGAAGAAAAGTTATATCAGGACAGAAGATGTGCTAGTAATAAGCAGAACTGCTTAGGTTACTGAGCAGCTCCATGGGGCCCCCTATTATGTCTGTCTGTCTGGGCACCTGGCCATAGCAAAGTGTGGGAGCTAGGACCACAGCCTCACAAGTGGCCCTGGCAGGTCCCTGGCCTGGACTGCACTGGGTTGGCAGGTGAGGCCCCAGCAGTGCCAGAGTGGTCCCGCGAGGCCTCGGCACTGGCTGCACTTGGGCAGGCTGCTCCAACTCGGCAGGTGGGAACCAGGCCCTAGCTACTGTCCGCCAGCATGCCAACAGTTAACCAGTTAGATGGTATAATTTTAATTGTTTAACTGGTTTACTATTTTAATGGTTATTTACATCCCTATTATTAGTTTACTTATCTCTGTTTTTGTCTACAGGTATGTGCAGCCAATTTTGGAGATATCTGCAGTGTGGTTGGACAGCAAGCCACTGAAGAAATGCTTGTAAGTCTTTTGTACAGAAGTCAGTTTGTTGAGCTATGATTCTAGGTATATATAGTCTCCTCACCCTCACAAATAACACCTTCCTTAAAATTACTGAAGAGAACTCAGGAGTTGAGAAATGAGAAAGTTAGGTTTGCACATGCACCTGATCTCTAGTCTTTCAAAGACTGTATTGCAATACATTTCCACAATTACGTAACATGTTGTTTATGCAGAACCACTGCCTCTTTCATCACTCATTCTCTGAGCTTTTTGTATTTCATCAGTTCCATCTGACGTGAATGATTCTATAGAATTTACTCTTTTTTTCACCTTTGCAAGCTTGGATACATGTGTAAGTTGTGGAGTTGTTTTAAAAATACTATGTGATCATTAAATGCGATCAGGCCTGTGCATATGTATGTTGAGAAGAGGTTGCCTGCATTTTGCCCGTGTGGACTTTTCCTGAATTTTGAGTGCAAGCACAGCTTATATATGCATTTAATATTGCTGTTAGTATGAGGTTTTTTTTAAATAAATAAAGACGGAGAAAGATGGTGGCAGGACAAGAAAGAAACAGAAGGAACTGCAGGACTGATGCCTTTTTTTGCAAGCTGAAAGAACTAATAGAGTTGTAGAAATGTAGGGCTAGACGGGACCTTGAGATGTCATCAAGTCCAACCTACTGCACTGAGGCAAGACCAAATAAACTGAGACCGTTTCTGACAGGTGTTGGTCAAACGCAGGGGTGGGATTCCACAGTCACCCTTCGAAGCTTATTCCTGGGCTTAATCATGCTTAATAGTTACAAAATTGTACCTAATATCTAACCTAAATGTCCATTTGAACTGATAAAGCCCATTACTTATCTTACGTTCAATACATGTGAAGAAAATTGATCCTAACTTATTTAAGTAGCATGTGTGTACAGGCAGTCCCCGGGTTACATGGATCCGACTTACATCGGATCCCTACTTACAAATGGGGTGAGGCAACCCCGCACTAGCTGCTTCCCCCCAGCAGACCAGGGAAACGCGGAGCGGCTTTTCTCAGCAGACACCTCAGTTTGAGAATAAAGGACTGAGGGAAGTGAGGTGTGGGAGAATAAAACTGAGCTCTGGAGAAATGTTTGGCTAGAGTTTCCCCTACAATATGTACCAGTTCCGACTTACATACAAATTCAACTTAAGAACAAACCTACAGTCCCTATCTTGTATGTAACCCGGGGACTGCCTGTATCTCATAATTTAAAACTAGTAGGGTAGACATCGTGGCTAACGTCTCATTTAAGAGGCAGACAAGAATGTACAGTGGGGCTCCATTTTGAGCACTTTTACAGAGTCCCTTAATAATTCATACCAGGGATGTAAAAGGTTAACCTCTAAGTTCGTAGTCACCAACGGCCTCGACCAGTCGATCACGAGGTGTCCGGGCCCCCTCCCCTTATTTTCCCCCGACCCCCGAGAAGCCCCATTACCTACCTCCAGTGAAAGTGGAGGTAGTGCCAGCTTCCTGCGGGTGGATGGAAGTCCCGCAGCTTAGCACCACTTCCAGGGATTCCGGAAGTACACTGGCTGCTCTGCCGGGTGTGCTGCGGGAGGGGGTGTTGGCCCCAGAGGAAGAGCATGGCAACTTCCCTGCACCGGAGCAGGAGGGGTGAGTCAGCCCCGGGTCAGGCATGTATGGGGTTTCCCTGTGCTGCGGGTGTGTGTGTGTGTGTGTGTGTGTGTGTTTTGGCTCCGGGGCAGGCACGCGCGGGGTTTCCCTGCACCATGGGGAGAGGGGGGAGTCGGGCCTGGAGGAGGCACATGCTGGCTTCCCTGCGGGAGGGGAGGGGGAGGGGAAGGGCGGGGAATCCTGGGAGGAGTCAGATGCAGGGGACTCTCTGCCTCTGCTGGCACCCTGTCCCCACTGCCCAGTTCCCAGCCCTTGTGTGTTTTGGCTCCGGGGCAGGCACGCGCGGGGTTTCCCTGCACCATGGGGAGAGGGGGGAGTCGGGCCTGGAGGAGGCACATGCTGGCTTCCCTGCGGGAGGGGAGGGGGAGGGGAAGGGGGTGGAATCCTGGGAGGAGTCAGATGCAGGGGACTCTCTGCCTCTGCTGGCACCCTGTCCCCACTGCCCAGTTCCCAGCCCTCACTCCCCAGTTCCCTCTTCCCAGCCACAGCACTCTGTCCCCACTGGCACCCTGTCCCCTGCTGCAGAACCCTGTCCTCGCCTCTCCCAGCACCCTGTTCCCTCTCCCCTGCCCCCAGCCACAGAACTCAGTCCCCACTGGCACCCTGTCCCCTGCCAAAGCACCCACTAGCATCCTTCCCCAGTACTATGTCCCCTGTTCCCACCAACACAGTTGGGGCCACATTAGTGAAGCTTGGGGAGAGGGTGGGGTTGGAGGAGGGTTTTTTTGCAGCTCATTTGTGTGTGGAGGGTTTTTTTGCCAGCTGACTTTTCTTGCGTCAGTGACCCCTGACTCAAAACAGGTTCCCTGCCCTTCTCATAAATAAAGACAATGCAGAAACTTTTTGTCTGACACAGTATTTTATTTAAAAATGAAGCCTGGCCAACAAACCCCAAATTGGGGCCAAGCCCCCATCTGGCCACAGCATCATAACACTCCTGCACTCCCTTTTCCCCCAGACCCTACATCTGAGCCTATCATATACTAGAGCCCCCTGCCCCGAGCCCCTCACATACCCCAACCCAAATTCCTGAACCCTCACATCCGGAAGTCTGTGGCCTCCTTAGTACCCTAATCCTACATCTGACCCCAACACTGCGCAGCCTGGCGTCCCCTCCCTGAGCCAGTGTCCCCTTACTCACCTTCTCCTGCATCCAGATTTCCTCCCACAGCTTGCACCTCTCACCCCTTCCCACACCCAAATCCCTCATTCCCACCCCAGAGCCTACACATCCTGTCTCAACCCTGCAAGGTTACGGCTAGACTGCAGGAGTTTTTCAGGATTCCGGAGATAGCCCAGAAAAACACTTCTGCATCCAGGGATGCATTTGGTCTTCCGCTTCTTTTAGTGGAAGAGCAAACATGATCTTTCGGTCACCCCTATATTCCTCTTTCCACGAGGAATAAGGGGGCTTCCAAAAGAAGGGTTTTTTCTGACATTTGGTCCAGTCTAGACAGGCCAAATGTTGGAAAAACCTCTTCCTACAGAGGAATTGGTAAAAAAGCAGCAGGTTAAGGGTTGGGGATAGCAAGTGATAGAGAGGAGGAGAATAGAAAGGGGGGGGCGGTTCTGTCATCTTGGCTTGTTCTGTGATTTAAAAAGTGATCTTGGGTGTAAAAAGGTTGGAGACCACTGCTCTAAGTGGATGCTTAATCAGTTGCAGTTAACGGTTAAACTCTAGGAGTTTCTAGATCCATAATTTACGCTATTCACTTACATTTTCCATGGTATAATTATTTTCTTGCTGAGCTGCTTTAAAAAAAGAGAGAGGAAAAAGAGTGAGGAATTTCTTTTCATGATGACAAAAATGTTTCTGTCCCACTCCTCTTGTCATTCTGCTGTTACTGAAGTACGTCGGCTGAAATTTTATTTAAAAAAAAAAACACTTTGGTTGGTCTGGAAAATGTCAACCCAGAAGGAGACTGCTTCAGCAACTAATGCAATGAAAATTGTTGTACTATCTTGATAGAAGCCACTGCGAGTCTTGTTGCATTATCGTGGATAGTGATAATCATGTGACGAAGTTCCATGCAGTGATTGCTTCAACTGCACCCTGTCCACGGATCCATTTCTGGCTGATGGTTTGGGAAACACAGGGATTGAAAGTCAGCAAGCTAGGGAGAAGCAGGAGTGGGTGAGAAGACCTGGGAGCCCATTCCTATTCCCCCAAGCTGGTCCCTTCAGGGAGGACAGGTGCATGCACGCAGGAGAAGGGAGGGAGGCTTCTGGGTTCTGAGTCAAGCCCTGCGCACCCTGTCCACGGATCCATTTCTGGCTGATGGTTTGGGAAACACAGGGATTGAAAGTCAGCAAGCTAGGGAGAAGCAGGAGTGGGTGAGAAGACCTGGGAGCCCATTCCTATTCCCCCAAGCTGGTCCCTTCAGGGAGGACAGGTGCATGCACGCAGGAGAAGGGAGGGAGGCTTCTGGGTTCTGAGTCAAGCCCTGC